ACCGAAGCCAGCAAAGGAGGCAGGCAAGGGATATAGAGGCAGGGAAGATGTGTGCATACAAGGGAGAGATTGAGGCATTGAGAAAAAAAGGACGACAGAAAAGAAAAGAGAGCATTCAGTGACTCATGCCAAAAGAAAACATGAATTAGGTTGGAACAACAAAAACAGCCAGCAATAGACACAATTAAAAAAACAGACATATGAGTAAAAATGCATGCAGGGCAACGCTGGCAGAGAAAAGCAAGCAGACGCTGACATGTGTGAGAGACAAAAGACCAGCTGTGAAGACAATTTGTTCATCAATTTGGTATCTCTGCTGTGAGGTTTAGTGATATTTGTAATTGTAAAATTGCAAAAATCCCGCACGGATGAACCTCCCCTTTTTCCAGACACAAATCTGAGAAACCAACCCACACAAAGCCTCTCAATGAGCGCGCAATCCAGGCTTTGCGAGGTCAGCCTGACAGAAACCTGTGTGGCGCGAGGAGCTCGTCTTAGGATCCCGGCTAATCCGGTTCCTTCTCAGGGTAGTCAGCTGGAAAAGTTTACCACAAGCTCCCCAGCTCTGGGCAAGAAAAGTTGATTTTGTGAAGCATTCTTGGAGCTGGATTTCCACAAGGCTCACTCCCCCCCCCCCCCCCCTCACCCCACCCCGCCCAAACGCAGAAGCATGGATAATACGCAGAGAGAGAAGAAGCTTTTATAGAAGGTTTTATAAGCAAATTGTCCTCCTCTTGCAGACATAAGCAGCACTAAGATGAGATCTGCAGGAGTTGGTCACATTCCCTGAGCATAGACATCTAGATACACGGTCAACAGGTGAGTGCTGCACATGTTTGAAAGTATGTAGAGGGTCAGGACTTACCCGGGGGCTGCTGAGGGGGCTGGTAGAGAGGCCAGAGGAGGCACCACTAATAGACCGAGACCTGTGGCACAAGCACACACAGGGGCAGAGGTGATTGGAGGGATCAACAGGTGCACCTGTCGCAGGTTTCAGGAGACACGGGTGGAGCTGAGAGGTCGGAGGTTACATGTTGCACCACAGTACGTATGCCACTATCGTACCACGGGGGGGTTGCTATCGAGCCCTTTGCAAACAGAGCATCTATTCACACAAAGACGTTCAAAGCAAGAAGAGTGGACAGCATACGCTACCAGCGTCGACTAGCAGCACTCGGTATCAGACAAATTTTATAGCTTTTGTTTTAAAAAATGCCGCCGCTTCCCCTGCAAATCTGTAGTGTGTCTTTCCACGGGTTTGCATTAACGTCGGCTTCGCGAGCGGCCTAAAGTCTGCATCAGTAGGAAAAATCTGAAGGGAGGAAACGAAGTGAGACATTCGGTTGAGTGCCATTTGTCATGTTTTTTCTCCCCCCCCCCCCCCGCAGATGCCGTCAATAAACCCTATGAGCAGAGGCCCGCTCAGAAACGAACAATCACAGGAAAATCTGTCTCCATCAAGGGGCCACGCACACACGTACACGCACATACACAACTCACAAAAAAAACACAGAGGCCGTCAACACTTGGAAACACCAGCTGCTCACTGTCACAACACTGTTCCTTTTTTGTCATTCAATCCAACAATACCCCCCCACCCAGCCCCCTTCCCTCTCTATTAGCGTTGATGCATTAGCGAACATGTGGCCGAGCCAACAGATCGTTTGTCTCTCTGAAAGGATAAAGACACAACAACTACCTTTTTTTTTCAACCTGCTCGGTTGCAGCAGAAAGACCTCACGGACAAATGTGACGGGAGGATGGGGGCGGGCGGGGGGGGGGGGGGGGGGGGGGGGGGTCGTAGGTGCGATGGGCGAAGGAGGGAGGGAATGAAAGAGTGAAGATTGCGAGGGAGGGGTCGAGTAATGGAGACTGATGGTCATTCCCGGAGCTGGAGCTTTCTCACAGGAGCACGGAGGCATCCACAGTGGTCATACAAATGACACCAGTGTTGTCATAACAACAGGCCCGGATTAAGATCTATATGTATCCGTCTCCTAAAAAGTGGGATCGCTTATTTGGGTTCAGTCGCCCGTCTCCCTTTGGCTGTTAAATTGCAACCACCACGAGAGATAAGCGATACTAAAAGAGGAATATTACTCCCGAGAGACCCAGACACACACACAGAACAGATGGGAGGCAACAGCTACAAGGAGAGGGAGCAAAATATAGAAACACCCACTCTCGGGTTATTTTTGCAATTCTCCCACTGCCCCCTTCTGTGAGTCTATTCGTTGCACGCACTCATGAGTAAGCCAAGCTGAGACCACGTCGACGAGGATTCTGAGTTAAAAAGAGAACTAGTCGACTAGACGGTTGCTATCATTTGCATTCGACATGCAAACGGTTGCTCAATACATCCAAACACGGATTAAACACAGCGTCCTCGGCCAGAGCGTACTGTTAGAAGCACTCGTTGCATGAAGGTAATGTGACAAGCCGCTAAACGGTACAGTATTGAGGTGTCAGAGGCCCACCCTTGTTTTGGAGAGAGGATTCGTTGTTGTTGAAGAGTGTTGTGTCTGTAGTAAACAGTATGCACAACTTTAAAAAAAAAAAAGATAAAATTAGTTGACTCACTCCAAGTAAACACTACAGTGGTATCAAGCCATACAGAAAGTTTTTTGCGACATCTGCTGAGATTTACGCCTCCACCCAAAGAACAATTGAAGTGATTGGAATGTACTTTGTGCTGCTCACAGCATTTAAAAGTACGACTTGAAAACAACAAATTAAAAACTGCTCTTTCCAGATATACGATCCCAATTACTCTATACTTCACACAACACACCGTCGACAGTTTAAAACGGGACTCCTTTGTCGTTAGGAAGCGGTTTCAATGAAAACCGTCGATAGTGTGGTTTGAGGACACATTACTTCATTAAGTGAATCCAGAATATTCATATTCATTTGACAGGCACCATTGTGCATTTGCTGTTAGTACTTTTACATTTCAAATGCAGGACTTTTCCATGGCTTCCTCTCTATCTCACAAAGGGATATTTCTCCTGGAAACATTAAAATCAAAACTATATGCATTGCAAAAACACCACTGGAGGGAAATTAGATTATTTATTTTAATGTGATTTGGTGGCGGCACACACAAATGTCAGTTTAATGGTGTATGGCCACTCATTCATATCTTTCTATTATCCATTTAGAAGCCCTTTCCCATAAGCCTGTTTTGGAATGAAGCCCGTGTCCTCGGCCTGTGACCATCGGCTGTGTCAGAGACCCATCCAAAGCACTTGTGGGGGTCTAATGTCGGTCTCTGTTGGATGGAACGAGTACAAAAGGTTCTGGGACGAGGGGCATGGACTGAAATAAAACAAAAAGGGAAGATAAATGCACCGGATGGTGCCAGGAGTCAAACAAACCACACTGCCCAAGCCAAAACACAAGGCTACTGCTCTGCTAGTGTGATTTGTGCTCCCTTTGTCTCTCTCTCTCTCTCCCTGTCCTCTGTATAGACTCTGTCCTGCCAATCGAGTTCCATTCGCAGAGTGGATATTCATACAAATCAACACATTTCATTTTCTTGGGCCCTGAGGAATTGTGCGTTAAATTCAGAGCTCAGACACCTGATGTTGGGATCAGTGGTAAAGGCTCTATATTTGTGCTCATTTTCAGCCCATGGAATAAATAAGAGTCAATAATTAGCACAAGAGCCCGACTTATTAAGATGCCTCCGACGAACCCAACCAACTCAAACATCATGAAGCAACCAGAGCGGAACTGTAAAGAGTGAAGAAAAAAAAAATCAATTGATATTCTCTTCTTCGCACTGCAGCACTTTTCCATATTTCATTTCCATATCATTAACCTCCCTTCATTTCTCCTGGCATGTTGTTAAGATTTAAAATTAATTCTGGGGGATTTCTTGTGCTTTTGAGTTTGGCTGAAAATGTCTTTTTATGATATTTTGGGACAGATAAAAAAAAAAGGAAATGGCCAGTAAGAAAGTGAGTTTCTCAGTAACGTTGCGCCATTCATCCCAAATCTATTCAATTATACTTCACAGAAGCAGTCAAATCACCAATCACATGTAAGAAAATGCAGCATGTGCATTTGATCGGATTATTACCGCCAACACAAGGCATGCGGGGCAAAATGCTGGATGGGGACGGGCATTTTTGTTGAGTAATTTGAGATAAAACTGGTTCGCCCCTCTTCCATCGTTCACGCTGGTTGAAATGCATCCTGTCAAAACACGTCTCCGAGTCAGCCCTCTCTCTGACACCCTCTGATCTAAAGTTCTGCGAATCATCTGCTCTGTCGACAAAAGTTTTGCTGTCGAGGAAAGATAAGGGGAGGTTCACAGAGTCAGTCAATCAACGGACGCTTATTTCGCTACGTAAGTGCTTCCACGACGCCACCGTCTACAAACACACACAGGAGCATGCACATGATCAAAGAAAGGCAAAAGTTTCACAGAGGCTTTGTTACCTACCAACCAACCAACCAACCCCCCCCCCCACTCCGATCAGCTGGGGAGCAACATAAAGCAAGAGAGATATTCGATGTGGAGGACTCCCACTGCCTCAAACCCACCGACAGGAAAAGACTAGCAGCCTTTCTACATTAGCATAGATATTCCATACTAACTGGGAGGGGGGGCGCGTTTGGGACTAAAGGTCAGCTACACACAAGGAACCAAAAGAAGGGAGGAGCCCATGAAAGAGATTTAGAAACCAGACAGATTCAACGTAGCACAGAGGAAAGATGTAGCGGGGCTTTGTAAATGACTCAAGCTGCCAATGTGTGTAGGATCCAGACAAACCTGTGAGGTTTTTATTGAGATTTGTAAACCTAAAGGTGCCGTTTCTTCAGTGTCCTATATGATGTTTGCTATTCAGCAGTGGATGCTTTTTTTGACCTTTTTTTGTTTTCTGTTTTCTCCAAAGCAGTTTTGAATGTTTGAAAATGTCACTGCGAACTGGCGTTTTTTGAGATCATGGCCTTGGCTGAAACCGATGAGTCAGAGCGACGGGCAGATGAAGGTAGACTCTAAACTAACGCAACCTTTAAATGAAGAAGAAAAAAAGACGAGGGAACTCCCGAAGGGACGAAGGCGCGAGAAGAGGCAATGAAACAACACTAAGATGAATGTTAAAGTAAAAATTCACAGACACCAGGAGACAGGAAGAACTAAGCAGAAGTGTTTAGAGGATTTGGATAGAATTTGATTTAAAAGTTCTGAAGTGGATTCACTCACCGAAATGAGGCGGGAAATAAATTCACTTCTTTTTTTTTGTTGACAAAGCACTATGGTGAGAAGTTATTAATGCACCTGACATTTGGATGAATATTCAATTTTGGAACGACATTTTTTTTTTTTTTTTTTTAATCTATTGAATATATGCTCTCGCTGCCTCTGCATTTATGTCACATACCTCGGAAAGTCTTTTTCCAGCACTCTGCCAATGTGCCTATCATTAGGCAGATCAGGTTATCACCCCCTTAGATTCAATCTTACCCACTGTCACAAATGTCACTGCCTCGGAGCAGAAATGTGTCGTGTGATGATACATTGGCTGTTGAAATAAGACGGGGAAATATATTTCATATCAGTCGGCTGTGCCTTGTGGGTGGTGCAGTCGTAGCTTGACTTTCAACGTTTCTCAAACAGATAAATGGAGAAATGTTCTGCATCCGGAGAAAGTGGGACACGGCATGGAGGAACTGATTATCAATGCGTTGAGATAATGACAAGAGGAGATAATCGAGCCAACTCCAGAAAAAGTGAGGTTGCAGAAATCAAGGCTCTGAATTTGGAATGCGCCGTTTTACTCCGATTTGGCAATTAAGGCAATCGAGAGCGTCGAGTCAAATTCTAACCACTGAAGATGACTTATTGATTTGTTAAAATGCACTCGTGAAGCCGCCCCACGCTGCATTCATCGCCATTAAAACAAAAGCCCTTCCCTCAACAGAAAGCAGCGCTGCATCTCTCTGTGCCGTGCAGCGTCGAGCCAGAGGAGGTGAACGTGTGAGGGGCAAGGGAATACCTTTCTTCTTTGCTGCATTTTGCACCGGCGTCAGGAATATCCAAGCTTTTTCTGTACATTGATATACTACGGCGAGACGGGAGACAAAGCGGGGCAGACCGTCAGTCTATGTTGGTGTTTGTCTATCGAATCTAGCCTGCTGACTGAAGAGCGAGACTCAAGACTGTCAGACCTGCTCAAACACCACTGGGCTACGAGATCCTACACACACACAGACACACACACACACACACACACACACACACAATCTCCATTTCTTCATTTGAAAATTGTATAGACGTTTTCTGTTCACCTCCATGCGTACCTCTGTCCGTGCTGCGTCATGTCGATGGCCCTCCTCGCCGGTACGGGCGAGCCCCCGTCTGTGACACTGAGGACCTCCATGGACTTCCTCTCCGGTCTCCTCTTGCCGTGGCGGTTCAACATGGGAGAGTCCACGCGCTTCTTTGGGGGATCTGCGCGAAAATCGAACAAAACAGAAAAACACATTTCCCCGTGACGTCCTGGCCCGTTAACGAGCGCGCTTCTACACACGGAGCGTTTTTGTGCGATGCACGTGTGTGTTTAAAGTGATGTTTGCAGCTGATCATATCGGCACGTTAACTAATAGCCAATAAGCGATGGTGTCCCCTTTCCACACTCTGAACTAATGGCCATTGTATTGACTGTATCAAATGAACTGAAGAGGGAGTCTATAAATCAGATCTGTCCGCCAGCACACACACAAACACACACACATGCACATTTGAGCATAACACTCCTCCTCTTACAGTGCTTGTGTTGTCAGGAAATAACCCCAGCAGAAGTCTAAGTAGAGCACTTTGTCTCCGCTCAGATCTCCGTGGGTGGAAATCTGTTCTGCATTGCGGTGTACGAATAGAAGAATAACATTTTCATGATGAGTTGTTATTTGAACCGAAGCAGTCGCAGGCGACAGTTTTTCAAATTTGGCCGTTAGACACCTTCTATTTCTGTTATTATATTTCATTGAGAAAAAAAAAAGAAGAAGAACAAATCCGCCACTGCTGGAGTTGATCTAATTTCTTCTGAACGAGGGACACATTGCAGAAGGGTTCAGATATTAGAAGCATATAGTTTTACCATCAAGTCTTTATTCTTGACTAAATCGGGTTGCTTTGTCTGTGTATACAGCTGTCTCTCCAACAACTGGATGGAAACTACTCACAGATGTGCTAACAGCGTTTCACCTGCTATGAACTTTTCATAAACCTCTTTTTTTTTTAAACCACATTCTACCATCATAAAATCTTCATCTGTACTCTCTGTCTCTTTGGTCAGAGCCTCACCGATCTCATTGCGAGGGGGAAGGTTCTGGTCCTCCTGACTGGGATACCTCTCCTTACGGTCCAGTAACAGGAAGTAGATCATCTTTTCTTGGTTGTCACTGCAACGAGGAGACAATGACATTGTCTACTGAGACATATGGGATAAAATAGCAAAGGTTTTAACCAAAACTGGATCATTTCAAACAGAAACGTGTAAGGATGAGCAAGGCATCGGTGTACATACACAGTCAAAAGCGAAAGGGGAAGTCATTAAACTGCAACACCCACTACTACAATCAACACCCTTTAATCGTGTTGGGTTCGTTGTGAAACTGCCACTAGAAAGTATCAAAACATTATGAGACATCCTCTATAAATCAGGAAGCCCAACATCTTTAGCCTAAGGGCAATACTTTCCATGCAAAAGGCCCAGGGACTGGTTGTCTGCAATAAGGACAGATTGAAAAGCAGTAGGAGGCTAAGAGACAAGAACCTGCAACTTCAGCTGAAATTAACCAAGCAAAGGGAGATAGAGACCACAGATTTCCATCCAGTCCAGAACTATTATGTGAAGCTCCCAGGAGATCAGAGGCAAACGGAAGAGATTGGGGTGGTGAGTAGAAAGTGCTCATTTATTATTAAATTAAGGAGCCCGGAAAAATGTAAAACAGAGGGGAAGGAGATAGAAGAGCGAAGCAAATTAAATTAAATCTATCTGGCCATTTTGATAAAAAACACATGATATATATATATATGAATGAGAAACTTCATAGCAAGTACTTTCAGTAAAAATGTATATATGAGTAAAAATACGTCTAACATATACATGAACAATGGGACTGAGGGACTCCTGGTGCAAGCCAGCGTCAGTTTGGGGTTTTATGTATCTAGTGGCAACCTGTAAAAGTGCTTTGAGATAGCAGTTAAGCGATCTATAGCCTTTGAGATCTACAGCCTCAAAAGGACTTCACGAGAGCTGAGGGGAAAAACCAAGGCCGGCTGTGCACACCGACACCACGTAACCGTCCTTCTCTGGCAGGGCCACCACCTCACAGCTCCATCCTCGTCTCCAGCTGCTTTTTATCACTTTCTCAAACAATCTTGTACCCTCTTTCCCACAGCCGTCTTCACCCCACCGCTTGTCCGTTCCTCCCTTTTGCCCCTGCATTCACTCACTCATCGGAGAGCAGGTCTTTCAGCAGTTTGTTTTTGTCTCTGAAGCAGCCGAGGGAGTGCATGCTGTCCAGTACGTCGGGGTCAATGTCGTCTGCAGACGGGAGGCTGCGGATGGTCACCTTCCTGGGTACGGGCTGCTCCGGCTCTGGTTCGTTCTTCCCCGCTCTGGGAATGCAAAGAAACCACAACACAGTTGAGGATTACGTCAGCCTTCGTTGTCCCTGCTATGCTACTTTCGGCCTACAAAATGCTACATTTTACACTGCTTACATTGGAGGCAAAATTAACTTAACTTTGCAGGTTCACAGGTTTAATTCACTGAGGTAATCAGAAGATGTAGCAGATGAAGTGTTTCCGTGGCTGTTTGTCTCTTAGTTTAACGTCTGCCTCGTTATTATGCACAAAAAGCGCCAGAGGGGGAACCGGGGTCTGTTGTATTAGACTGTACAGTTTGTCCTGGCGCTGTCCTTTCAGCACCACGGCGCTGCTCAGCTGCAGATTGATAACAAGCCGGCAACTAACACAACTCATAAACAAACAATGCGCGTGGATGGCCCGGTTTGAATTGGTATAGAAAACAATTTGGGCTTGTCTTCTTGCGTTTCTTTTATCAGCCTTGCTGTCTGTTTTGCGTGATATTTCAGAACACGACAGAAGCCGTAACCACCCCGTTCTCAGGGCTTACTAATTCCTGTCAGGATTTATCTTTGCAAGGAAAAGAACGTTCGAAATCATTTAAACATTTTTTAGTAATTTTCCAGTTATATAAAAATGTAATAAAATATGTATTAATCCTTTCATTCCCCATTAAAAAAAGTTTTCTTTGATTATACTGTATGTTAGCTTAAAAAGGTGGGGGCAAGGCGAGGGGGGGCACTGAGGTGGGTTTCACCTCAACCACATACTTGTTTCCTCCCCCCAACTCCCTGCTCGGTGGACCACATGCTGAACATCCTCCTTCATGCACTACCAATTTACCCCCACATCCCAGAGAGTGGAGTCATGCCCTGCTCAAATATGCTCTTGTGTGCACGGCTGCAACTCAAAGCCATTCATCATGTGGTCGCTCCCCAAAGGTCTGCGACCCCTGCAGCACAAGCTAAGAGGGGAGCGGAGTGGAGGGTTTTTTAAATAGCAAGGAAAGACAGCATACTTACATGTACCATGTGTGCTTCTGGATCTGTTCTAACTGCAAAAGAAAGAAACGTTCAGGTCAGTACACAGATCGGCGCCATGCATTTGATTTGACTCATTTCATCGTCTTTTGGTGTACAGAAATGTTTGGTGCGGAGCGGCTTCATTGAAACCTGAGCTTACTGGCTTAATGGAATCACAATAGCGCAACGCGGCTGGATTGAATAGTTGAAGTAAATAATGAGGCCATCAAATATTAATACTGCCAATGGGAAGAATAAAACCTATTGAGAAAAAGAGAGCGGTGCAGCAGGAGTATTACAGAGAGGTGGTACCACTGAGCTACGAACAAAGAATACTATCTCCCTCGCCCAGACTGTTGACCCTGCAAAGCCCTCCGGTCAGAAGGGAATCTCCCATTCTCGTTCTCTTCTCCCACTCACACAAACGCACACTGTCTCAATGCTGCTCTTGTCATCGCACTTTTAATGTGACCACTTTGTCCCCCAACACTGTCAACAAGGGTCTTTTTGCCAAAAAATTAAAAAAGCAGAACGAGACAGAAACAGTGAACGAGGAGAGACGTCTGTTAGAGTGACACCACAGTGCTTCAACGGCCCACAGAGGAAAACCCGATCAATGTCACTGTCGGGCCGTTTTAATTTGCTCGTGCTGTTGTTTCGGAACCCTGAGAGATAGAGACAGCAGCTCTAATTATCGTCACTTATTCGGAGGCGTAGTCCTTGGGTGTGTGTCTCCCATCAATGCCTCAATGTTTACACCATCCCGGAGGATTTGCCTGTGTGCTCCGGCACGGATAAACGCCTTCATGTGATATTAGCGCCATCGCAGAGCAGGCCGAGCGGCGGCTACTGACTAGAGGTACATCGCCTGTGCTTCCGTAGAGGTCACGGTATTGACGGAGACACCCTGCCTGTCAGATACACGCCAGCGGGCGACCTACTCCTACCCCCCACTTTTATTAAAAGGCCCAGAGGCAAGAGACCGACACCACACGCGGGGTTGAAAGTGATGCTGTTTAAAATTCAGTGTCACGTCAATCAATGTCTCAATGTGACAGTACCAATTCCAGCTTCCTTCGCTCAAACAGAGGGGAATGCTGCTCTAACAGCGGTTTGGCTACGAGTATGCGTTCAGGTACGTTAATATGTGCATGCTGCATTAATCCTTTTTCATGCAACTTCTGTAAGTACGCGCGAGTCAATATAGCTATTTCACAAGTGGCGTCGGCAAGTAGAGACACGTATTGAGCCAGAGCAAAGCCAAGCACCAGGGGTCTGATCCAGCGGCTTCTGCCTCGACTCTCCTGCTGGATCAGAAAACGTCCGGTTGCAGCCAAGTCACTTTCTCGCGTTTAACACTTAGGATTTAATCCAATAAACAAACCGTACGCGCACCCTGTAACTTCAACGTGATATCCCTCCAAAGCAGCTCTACTACTTCATCCTCTCATGTTGGACTGAGAGCAGACAAGAGTGACTCACCTCTCAGGATACAATAAGAGAGGATACGCCGGGGTCAGCCGCTCCACACGCTCAGTTCAACACATTAAAGTTTGTTACACAACAACAACAACACTGTAAGCTTTTCACCTTCTGTTTATTTTTATTACAGTTATTTTTTCATATCTTATGTCTCCATCTTACACAATGCACCTTTCTGTCTAGCAAATTAGTTACCCACTTCTTTTTTTTGTGTGGCTCAAATTTTTTATTTGTTTTTTCAACAGCTTAGCATTTCGGTTGTTCCACATAAAAAGAACTACACCTCCTTTAAAAGGTAAGCAGCCTGCATCACTGCATGAGTGATTAACTACAGTGTAATTTCCAAGTAACACCAAAAAACACCCATTATTTTCATTTAAACAACATCTGCACTTCATCTGTGCCGCCCCTATGATTATAGCGTACGCCCGTGGTGAAGTGTTGTTTAATATAATAGGCTCCCACCCCTCTTCATTATCACCAGGATGCAGATCTTTCCAGGGGGACGGTGCTCATTTCAATACTGAAGATGACACCGCGTTAAGACAGTATGGGGCCTACAGACTACACAAACAAAAAGGCTTTTATTGGGCTAAGCTCCTTAAGCCAGGATGCGTGCCCTCCCACTCAAGACCCTTCGGGGCCTTGGCTTCATGTGTGTGTACCTGTGTGAATCTACTAGACTAGAGGAATGTAATTAACCGGAGGTGACAGCCACAGACAGTGACAGACATACTGAAACCCGGCCAGTAGTAGAAGTAGCGCTGTGATTACCTTATCGATTGGATTCAACGAGCTACAGTCCACATCATTATGAAAGAGAATCCCTAGCACTGTCTCAAAGGTGTCTCTCCCCCCCCCGCCTCCCCTTTCGGCGTAGCTGTCTCGTCGACAGTCGCCACTTAACTCAGACTGCGCCAAATCGAACGTGGCTATTTGACATTCTGTGAGGTTGCAACACAGATCCCCAGAGCTCAGTTCGGGGCCCCCCGTGAGCAGGAGGGGGGGGTCGTGGAGGTGTTCTCCAGCCTTGTCGAGGACAGCGCTGCAGGCTGCTGGACACATCTGGTGGAACTCAGGGGGACCAGTTCTCGTCACGCAGAGAGAACAGCAAAATACAGCACACCAAATAGGCTTGGTCGCTCAAGTTAATGCTTTGACATTGTCTCATGTAGAATAGCAAAGGCACGGAGAAGTCAAGCATCATCATCCTCTTTGAAGCAAGAACACTGCTTTTCTTAAATGCACTGATTCCAAAAAAAGCACCTGCACTGATTCTTCCACGTGTCAAACAGAAGGGGGGGGATGAGTGGAAAACCACTTTACGCACTGATAGGCTAAGCTAGCTGCTAGGCTAAACTAACTGCTAGGTTGCTTCCATCTCAACATCTTCCCACCACCTTGCCACCTTGCTGTTTGGCAACGGATTGGCTCGCTAATGAGTGCAATAAACAGTGGTCCTCTCTCAAATTCCCCCCCCACACTTGAGGAAGAATCAGGTATGAGAATTTTTTTTGGGAAACCTATCAAAGCAAAGAGTAAAAAAAAGATGGCTATCTTGGCCTAGACTACCCTCCCAAAATTATTTTCTAAAATAGAATTCGATGTGGTCGTTTGAAGGTTTCCCTAAATTGCTCAAAGCATGAAAGGCAGCCCGAGACCAAGCGCACACAGAAAAATGGGAACATAATCAAACGGTGCGCTATCATCCAGTCCCTTAAAATTACCGTTAGTCTTTTGGTGGCATCCACTTCAATCATGCCACGGAGGAGGTTCTGACAGTCTGGAGGGATGAAGTGTGGCATGTGAAAAACTCCCAACTTCACCTTCTCCAGCAGATTCCTCAGGTTGTCGTCATCAAACGGCAGTGCACCCTGGAGAGATGCATGAAAAGAACAGAGAAGTCAGAACAGGGGAAATAAATTGGGAAAGGGTGAAGATGTAGAAACTAAATTAGAGAAGAAAGTGTTTGCTCTAGTTTAGAGAGCTCGGTATTAGAACAGAAAATAAGCCTTCGCCCTTCGGGGCGAAGAAAAATAATGACTAACAAAGCTAAAACCACATTTGAAGCCTAAAACCTGCACAACTTAAAGGAAACGGTGCGCTTTCTCAACTTGTTCAGCCGTCCAATTAGTAGAGCATTCTTCCCTCAGCCGCGATGAAAAATGAATAATAAACAGCGGTAAGCTGAAAACCGGGCTTTTTCTAGTGATTACCCAGCTCTCCACTTTACCTCGTTCATTTAGCATTCTCTCATCGGAGTAATTTATCAGAGCGCGCCGACGCCTCACAGATGGGGCTGTTTGATGAATGACAACCTCCACCACAAGGCAAGACGGAGGGGGAGAGTAAGAGGAAAAGGGTAAGAATGACGGAAAGAAAGTCTGAAAAATGAAGAGAGGTGTAGAGAGATCCGGGTTTGGGGTGGAGGGGGGAGGCTTATGTAACGGATGATCTAAACGAAGCCTAACTGCTGGTGACTATGCGCGTCTCCCACAATCAGACAAATGGTTACCTCGCAGCTAGACGACAGGAAGAAACGGGAGGAAGACAAAATGAATCTGCAGCCAAACGGCGTTGGGTAAGGAGCCTTTGTTTAGAGCGAGAGAAGTGCGGTCTCAGTGGAGACAACAGTAAACACCACTGGGTTTCCACAACACAAGCGTGTCGGCAGACTGTCCTTAATACTCACAAACACACACACTTACAGATGAGACAGAAAGAAACTGAGTGAAAGAGAAAGAGGCAAAAAAGTAAAAACACACAGGGCCTTTGGCCAAAAGCCGCCCTGTCAGCGTAGATATTTATTTTGGTCGGTCTTCTTTCAGTTTTGTTGTTTGAATTATTTATGAAGCAGAAGTGTGTAGGAACTACAGTACAGCTGTTGATGAAACAAAGCTTCCGGGCTGCACGGCCGGGGAACCACAGGCATTATGTAGCTGGAGAATAGTCCCCATTATGGATACAGCGTTGCATGTGGATAATGAATAAAGAAAGATGCCTCTATTCTCTGATATTCTGTTGCGCACGACTTTCAGCTTGAGGTGGTTCCTGAAACATTTTTCCAGTCCTTCTAAGCGATACGATTTGGAATTTAACTTCTTGAACTCTTGAGTTTCTGGTTGAGGCTCCCTGGTAGCTTCATGGTGTCGCTAATCTTCCCTTTCCATTACGGTGAGGTCAACCTCAAGTCAACGGGGTGCCAAGTTGGGAACGCGCTGTCAGCAGGCTCACTTACTCTCGGCCCACGATCCATTACGGCTGTTAGAAAGGCTGAGCACTCTGCTACAAAGGCGAGGCGACACTTCATGGGTCAATTTTGTTATGTCACTTTTCTTCGTGGAAGCTGTTTGTCAGTTGAATTCCCTCAATTAGTAGGGAACGAGCTGACACTCACCACCAACAGGGCAAAAAGAATGACCCCACAGCTCCAGACGTCTGCTTTCCTCCCGTCATACTTCTCCCCCTGCATAAGAGTGTATGTTAGCGGGATTAGGGCAGAGTGTTAATAAAATAATGCAATATGAAGCCAAAAACATTCTGTTTGATTGAAAAAGGACTCACCCTGATGACCTCTGGACAGGCGTAATGTGGAGATCTGTTGGGAAATTTACAAAAAAAGGGTAAAATAGATTAAATTGAGGAAATAACATCAAGGAAGAAAATAATCCAGGTTACTTTTCCATTTGTACGGCCGTACAGCAAAGTGCGTCATGGTTGTACAACCACAGCACAACAAATACTGATCTAGAGTTCTCTCTGGCACTCGGTGACCTAAATCCACCACACTAAACATAGTCATGCAGCGCCGCATAAAAAGACCAACGTAGGCAGAGCGTCCAGGATAGTTCAAGATGTGTTTCAGGAGCGTAGACGTCCTGAGGGTGTTCAGATGTCCTCCGAGCTCGCACACTCAAGGGCATCGTCTCCCGGCAGACAGTGAACAGACCCGCTAATCTTTACTGCACCTGGATGAGCTGCCAGTAAACCCAATGGCCAGATTGACACGTCAATATCACGTGACAATTCATGGAGCTACCTCGCAGCGGCTGCTTATGGGATGCTACGGAGTTGTCATTCTAAATATGCACACGGGTGCTTTTGCAGTTCTTTCACAGATTGACAAATCAGGCCCCTTGAAGCGAAAGGGAGCAGCTCATGATTAGCGTTTTATTTTGTTGCTCTGCGCCCTTTTTTTCGACATGCCCACATGTGACCGTACACGGAAAGCCAATCAGGCTCCCGTCGCCCGTTAAAACCTCGGCATGATGAACGGCCCCCCTCGTCTCCTTCTGCCACTCAGTCTAATCTAACGGCAGGATGCTCGGCTCTAATGAGAGACTATCTGAAGTCTGTAAACATGGCGCCCATTAGGTCTGTTGTCACCTTGTGTACTCATGAATACCGGCCCTGACGGCACGGCTTCCTCTAGCCGTCAAAATACCAGCCGATTACAAACACTGCCGCCATGTCAACGGAAACACGGTGAGCCTATGCTAATGCTGCACACCTGAGTGCAAGTGGCACAGTGCATTATGCAGATGAGGAAGGAAGGAAAGAGATATACATGAGATAAAAAAAAAATAGATCCTGCGACTTGCAGTATTTATTTGTGGCGAGTGCTTCTGCACACCAGCCACTGCTGGAACAAGCGTGAATATGAGCTAATTATCTGCAGGGGCTTTAGGTGGCAACGACAGGGTGAAGGTAGAGACGGTAAACAAGCATCTGAGCTGCATCCTAATTCGTCAATATAAGAACACGTTATCCGACCGGTCATATTAACAGCATGTGCTTTCGAAAACATGATCATCTCTCTTCTACTCTGACGAATTACATGCCCTACTTTCCATCAATCTGCACATTTGTCAGCTTTAGATCGAACTCCGGACTCTTTTAAACTACCAAAGTAATGCGTCACCCCTGAGTATTTAGGACCCCTTTCCTGTTTGACTTTACCAGCAATCAATGAACTTCTTAATTCGAGTTATATCATGTGGCCGCTCCCACTAAGAGTTCATTCAAAAAGAATATCCATTCAGGTTTCCCACAACGTGTTACGGCATACACAGAACACGGCCTCGTGTTTGCAGGGAAAGCATCAAAAGCTCTCTGAAAGATTCAGGCAGTATCGGCCAGCAATATTGTGGACACGCAGCTCCTTTTTTGTAAAAAAAAAAATCTTTTCAAACCAAATTTGCGCGGCTCCTCACTGCGGACAAGATCATTTCCTTTGATCAATCAAAGCAAGCAAACTAAACAAGCAGCAAGCACCGATGAACCCGCTGCTGGGTCTCATTCAGACAGAGCGACAGAGTTTGAACCGGATCCGTATTTGTGCTCGTCAAGGCCTCTGCCCGTCGGTGCATGTGAATTTGCCGGCATGTATTCATCCATGTGCTCAGAAGTTCCCCTCTACTCTACCTGGACCGTGTTAGTCTCATCTTCACTCAGCTCCATTAACCGTGGAAAATGGAATACATTTGTGTCAAGACCACTGCATGGTGAGAGGGGGGGGGGGGCAAGATAGATGTGTTTAATTAAAAACTGTCATATCTACACTTAGAGATGTGACAGTCAGAAGAGCATGAATAATCAATGACCACACATGCAGCGTATGACACGTTCCTGTGAATCAGGCAAGTCACACACAAACACACACACGTGTTTGTGTGTGTCGCATAACAGTGATGGAGCTGAGGGCGGAACGGAAACTGAACTTGTGTGTGTGTATGTGTGTGTGGTCTGCCTTCTACTTCACCTGCAGATGGCAGATGCAAAGTTGTCTCCGTTGGTCTGATCTCTACCGATGAGTCATGAGAGCTTTGGCACTGCGCTACTTGCTGGAAAGCATTATGCAACGTTTGTGCACGCACATGATTATATATCTGTGTGTGTGTGCGCATTATAGAAAGGGACAGAGACAAAAAAAAACAGCAGAGGACAAGGGGTCCGAAATGAGCTAAGCCTCAGCAGAGCTGTGTGCACATTGCGTGTTTGTGGGATTGCGCGTGTGTGTGTGGTTTCAGTTCAGTTGTGGACGATTTGGAGGAATAATCCAGATGGGGACAGATGTCACGGGGCCTACCCATCTTCCCAGCCCTGCAAGCAGAGTCACGTGCAACCACAGAGAAAAAGAAAAAATCTACACTGGCCTCTCCATTCACAGCGTCCGTCACATGTTGTTCTCACTCAACTGACTTTTTAAATCTACAAATGGCACACATGAATATGTTTCCTTGGGTGGCTTCTAGTGAGGCGTTAGCTGTGCTAATGTGTTTGCAGAGAAATCCTTTTGTGCCAAAGTTAAATCTTCCCGTTCATCCATGATGTCTCCAAGCTTCAGGTTTGAATAAAAACTCTGAAATAGATCACAGCGTTTATAAGAGTTTGAAATTCACTTTTACTGCGGCGGGAATACGAGGCAGTGCTTTGGGGGTTTGATGGCCCTCGCCTGGTCGGGGCCGCCAGATCATAAAAAAACCCCCAAAAAACCCATCGTCAGATACGAGGAGACGGAGAGCGGTGATGTATGGCTGCGGCCATGGCTCTGTTCACAGCCCTGACAGGCGTCTCCTCAACAGACCAACGCCAGCTCAGAGACGGAGGAAAACACGGCGCCTCGCAGAGGGCTCGATAGCCCCACTCATCATTCTCCATCCTCCCCGTTGCATTCCGGCAAATCCACGTGCCCACCTACTTATAGAATACATTTTCGATTGCAGAGGATGCGAGCGAGACGTTGCGCCCGTACCACTTACCCGCAGCTGGTTTCCAGCAGACTGTCTCCGACCTGAAGGGAGGCCATGCCGAAGTCTGCTATCCTGATGTTGTTCTTTTCGTCGAGCAACAGGTTCTCAGGCTTCAGATCCCGGTGGCTGAGGGATAAGCGGGACAGAAACATAGCGCAGTTAATGAAACATGAAATTGCTCATTATAGGTTGCACAAACTAGGGCAGCAGAGGACCCCACGTGTTACACAGTCCATCAAACACCTGCGGATCCACACCGGCGCGCACGGCTGTGAACAACGCGGCATCTTGACATGACACCGGGCGCGCCCTCCACCTCCCGCCTGCACCCGGGCCCTTTGATCGCCTCAGCGCCCGGGCCGGTACGAGTTGTGACAGCCCCCTGCTGTGTCCTTTTCCTGTCTCGCTCCCTCTTCTCCCCCTCCTTCACCGCTCCCCCACCCACCACACTTTCATCTCCCAGAAAGCCACCAGCAAACTGGCTGAGCTAAGGGGAGTCCGCCTGCAGAGGTGGTGTCATTAGCTGCCGTTCGTTATCGCCAAGCACAGCGAGAGGGATACGATCCCGCGGACGGACTTATGTCCTTTAAGAGGACCGTTGAGAGGAAGATCTTCTCTCATATCACGTACCCTGCTGCGGTGTTGGAGGTTAAACACCTCCATTTTTGATCAGTGACCGTTCAAAAGCAGAGGAGCGCTTGTGTTGTATTGTGGGTTTAACACGTCGTCAGGGCTTGAGCGCTGTATCACGCCCCACCGAGCGTTTCTTGTGTTACCTGCCAAGGCCGAGGGAAGCACCGTGAACAGTGTCTTGGTCAGGTCGGTTACCTGATTCTAACCCGATCCAACGTGCTTTCAACTTACACGCCACGGAACTGAAGGCAGAAAGACACACAGACAAGCAGCAACTAAAGGAGGCTGCTTGTCTGCAACTCAGCGTCTAGTGACATCGAGACCTCATCAATGCTGCAAAGGATTACAAATAATCCTTGTATTCACCAGTTTGTCCAATTCATCTGAGCCTCTGAAAATGGGGACGACTGTGTAAACACGGCTATAATTCCTACAATAGTTAAGTGTTTTTCCTATATTCATTGAATTAAATGAATCGTCCAAATACTCACGGTCCCGACTGCTTTTCCTAATCTGGGGAAGAGTCACAAAGCCGCGGGACTGTCAGCACGTCACAAACTCAACTTTTGTTCTTACTTTGCTTTAGACTAATGATGGAAAGAGGAGAGGAACAATGGCCAGACACTCCTGCCTATGAAGAGTGCCTCATCAAAACGGATGTTTAACCTTCGACGACATCAGCTGCCGTACGGCTCGCTTGCGGTCCCGAGGGATAAGCTGTCAGCTGGTTTGCCATCACGCTGGCGGTGTAAAACACAGATTGCATCCAAAACAGTTCTCCCCGGGCTAAAAACCTCTATCAAGTCACACAACCATCATTTGCAAGTGACGTCAAGCGGCTTGCGAGTTCGTCTTTCCGCTAATCCTGCTGATCCGGAATCACAGAACCACAGCGCCAGAGTCACAAATATCTAAGTATTCTTTAACTTTCAGCCTCTGATACAAAAGGCTCATAAACATGACATTGTGTAATCAGAGGCCTGTGACATGTGAAACACAAAGAGCCACCAAGAGACTGACCCACAAAAGAAAGAAGGCTACGGCGTATTTATCCACCGACAGCATCGAGGCGACAAATTGCATCTGGATGTTTTATTGGTTGTCAGGATTCTGGTTTCCATAATAGAACATTAAACTGCCTCTGTGACACATTAGGCTGCACTTTGAAACCGTAATCTTGCACACACAGCAGGCCTTGAAGCGGAGATATCTCTGCGTCGCCCTCATACGTCACCCAGGAGGAGACGCCGTTAAACACATCCAACAGCTGCAACGAGCTTGAATGTAACTCTAGTTTTTCTTTTCCCAGAAATGTGGAAGCTGTGAACCACAAGCAAGTCTCTGAGGAGTGCTTTCCTTTTTTTTTCTTTTACTCCAAAGGTCATGGATGAATTGATGTTTTGTGTCAAGGTGATTTGTCAATGGGAATTAAACATTATAAATGTTAGTGACAGGCTCAACCGATATAACACATAAATTTAAAAAAACGTACAATGCCATTAAGTGTAATTTACAGGGCAACACGTGCGTGTCTACGTGCTGTCTTAACAGGGTTTGCACCCCACGGGGCCGTTATACATGATTCTTGCAATTTAACAACACGCTCCTAATTGCCTGTGATCGCGCGGATATATTCTTTTACAGAAGGTTGGATTGGGTCGGTCATCTTTCGGGGCTCACGTCCCTTCAACATCACAGACATTTTTATTGTGAGGAGCAGTTTTGTAACAACGTTCTCAAGCCCAAGGAAAATCTACTTTTCCTGTAGTGACACATTTGACATTCGCCACGTTTAATAATGTCAATTTCACATGCTGACAGTTTGTTCTTAAGTGACAAAGTTGAAGTCTTTTCTCAAGTTTCATCATTTGCATTTAAAATGGATTAGAATTGAAAGGAAGTCACACAAGATTATATTTTACACAGAAGGTTTGCCACTTCGGTGATCTATTCCAACGGCAATCAGAGCGACACTGGGGAAGCGATGCATTGTTGCGTCTAATGCAGTGACAAAAAGCGGGATGACAATGATGGCTGGTTTTGTAATAAATAAACTGTCAGAAAATGATTGCTATTAAAAGACCCATAGTAACATCAGGCTTCCAATACAGATATGTGGGTGCAGATGTTAAAATGGTCCACTGTGCTTGTCCAAAATTAGATGAGTGAATATCATTACCAAAAGCAAAACTGGTTATTTTATTTCACCTTATTCCCCACATAATTTACTTTCTCGCTACAATCCCCTTTGTGACCACAAGCAAATTTGCTGCTGTGTTGTACACTTTTATTTTCTGAGCTTCATTTCATTCGCTTTTAGAATTAAAAATGAACCTCTCTGACTAACTTACAGTACAACGATTGATTAGTGTGCATTGTCCCTGCAAAATAAATGAATAAAAAAATCATATACCAACTCACTTCTTTACGTTTCCCCTATTATTATCCATACGTGTTTTACCCATTGCCTCTAATAACCAACTTCCCTCCTTTCACCCAGTTACACCTCAACTCTTGCATAAGGCCATCACTATCTTCACCGGAGAGTAGAAACATCAGAAGATTTTACAAGACAAGGGGGGAAAAGAGAAATATAGAAAAGGTTTTCCATTCTGTGTTGTTAGCGGCCATCAGGCGTAACGATGATAAGTACAGGCTTTCTGCACAGAGTCAGGCTGTCATCTGAGGGAAACTCTCCTAAAAATCAACGAAACAGACGAAAAAACGGCACAAGGTCCTCGGCTGCTGTCGATAGAGGAATGGACGCTGAGAGGATGGAGGCGAACATGATCTGATTTACCAACTTTTCCATCAATGCCAAGTGTAAAAAATGTCCAGACAACATTTAAACTTTCATTCTGACCGTTTAGAAGGATAAAACACCCAGAGAAAGGGAATGAGGCGGTGGCACACAGCTTGAGGTCCAGCAGGTCTGGACTCTGCGCCACGGTTTCTGCTGATGTTCCAACATGCTTTTGGTTGTTTTACCAATATGGAATTGTGGATCAATGCCAAGAGAAAAGATCTGGAGTTGACACTTATTGTATTTACTAGTTTTGTTAAAAATAACACATCTATCTATCTATATCTATATATATATAAATATATATCCCTAAATGTTACAATCTGTTCTTTTAAGTATACTACTTCAATTGTGTGGAGCTATGAGAAAGTGAGGCTCTGGACTGATGCCCTCAAGACCCTTGGAAGAGAAAAATAAAGCAGCCAATGACGGAGGGAGAATGTGGAGGAAACATAATGCAAATGTGGATGACGTGCAAATCATATTCTCATATGTTAATATGTTTCTACCTGGCTAACAACACAAGAACAACACACTCTTCATACATCCTTCGGTGTCTCTGTTGGGTCAGACTGCCACATTGGCTTTTCTGGAAGATGTCTACCGTGCAGCGGATGTGCACTCGGCTGAATGTCAAAACTGACGAGATGCATTCAAAGCGGTTTTGGAGATTCCTCCTCAGGTAAACATGGAAACTATTTATCTCCAATATCAGCATCTATCTTCCGGGAATCCACTTCGGTACGAGCAACGTTTGAACCCAAAGCAGCTCTCGGAGTTCTGTTCTGTGGCTGGCTGACCCTGACCTTTGACATCCCATGGATGAATGACATATCATCATGTGGGTTGTGCTCTCAAATCGAGCTCGCCCTGTATGTGAGTCATACATTGCAAATCTCACGTTGGAATTAGCTTTACTAATGACGCCCAAACACAGAAAGAAAGGCATCTCTTTGTAAAGTGGAAAGAGACACTACCTCGGTATGACTACATCCTACTGACAAAGCCTTTCCCAGGTCTGTTTTTTTACCATAAGCTATCTTTGCCTCATCTCCCTCGTCAGTTATCCCTGTGTGCGTCACTCCCCCCCACCGCCCCCCTTTCTCTTCCTCTGCGTAAAAGGAATATAGAAATCAGGTAGTGGAAACACTGAGTCATAAACAACCCTCTGCGCTTTCATATCGTTGCTTGCACCCATCCGGCTCAAGAGAGATGTTTGGGGAAAGGACGTGAGCGGAGGCGCGAGGCAGGGAGGCGAGGTGAAAGAGGGAGGTGTGAGGAAGAGGAGGGTTAAGAAGCACGTCTTCTTGTGAGTGGGGGGGGGGGGCGCTCTAAAATAATCCCCTCCCTCCCGATACATTTACATGGCTTTGTTTTGTACGCGTGTTAGTGAAGGGATTTGGGGAAGCGAAGACAGGAGAGAAAGAAGCAAAGCAAATGAGGAAGAGAGAGATGCATCTCGCAAGTGCATGTTACCACAAAAGAGCGATAATCTATATCTATGCATGCACTTCATTTTATTCCCAGATGCTTTCTCTTCATTGGCCTAATTGGTTCTTCTCACAGGTTGGACCGTTTTGTTCCATTTCCAGTAAAAGTTATAAATGGAATCCAAGGAATCACAAAGGAATCCTGACACAAGGGTGTCACCACATTGTTTATTATTAAACAACCGCGACCATAATCTAATTGCTCATTCTGAATAAAAGTACAATGCATATCTGATCACAAAATTCAACCGTACCTAATCATTCCATGACTAACCTGTTTAATTCTTTCTTTATAATTGCCGTGCAACATTATGTAAATCTGTCTCGCAGGCATTGAGTACTCTACACTCGGGAATAGTTGCTTTTTATTTACCAGATTCCAGTCGTCAGTAGGAGGATATTCGGGGAACTTTCAAAATATCCTAAACTATGCCGAGACAAGGAAAAGAAAGTCTCTCTAGCTCTGTCCAGCACACAGTTATGATGCACTCGCATTCATTAAAGTCATGAGTCAAATGACCAAAACCACTCTAATTTCAGGGTTGTATCGTACTATAACTAATTATGTTTTTAATCTGAGGCCTCTGCCTGTGAATGTGATTCATAATATGCGAAACCACCATTTTATAATTTATAGTGATCTGAATTGCAATTGAAGTGGCGTCCTCGATCTGATCTCTACTCGCTGCCAAATTAAGAGCAAAGGCCTACAGACTCTGTGGAGGAAAATTAACTTGCATTCTCTGCTTTAGGATCACAAATGGATCCAAGAAAAACACACACACACACACACACACGCGCAAATGAGCGCTCTAAATCAGCTCCCGCTGACATGTTTGACTTCTGCAGTATATATGATTGCCTAAAAGTTAAATTACCCCCTGAAGCCAAACACATTGAATCCCATTAGTAACAACGTGGAAGCACATTTGAACAAACACAGTGACTCAACACTGAAGAAAGAAGAAAAGCCATTGTCTGCTAACAAAAGGTTCCAAAATCGATGCCTGAGCCCTACGAGTGGAACCTCCTCTATCGATCTGCTACAAACCAAACGGTATATATGTTTTGTGTATGTATGTATTAGCACACATGAGGCGATATGAGTCTGCGCATTTGACTCTTTGTATTTGGATGTCACAATAGAAACTTTACGAAAGATTTAAAAAAAAAAACTTTCGTAATGAGCAATATCCCGTTTTCTCAGTTCTGTAATCTCCATTTCGAACCATTGGTTTGAAAATGCACAAGTGCTCAAAGATATGAATAAAATGATTGAAATAGTAGATTAACTCCGGCAACAATCGGTGTCTTTTTAGAATTCATTATTTGTGAACTTGTTATTTGTTTAATGTTGTATGACAACCAAATTGACGTTGTCACGTCTGTTGGCTGTGCTGGTTTACGGGGGATCTGTCTTTTTAAATGCATATGATCGTTGTATGAAGACAATGATTTCCATTGTTCAAACCCAAATCCTGCAGATATGTATGTGAATCATGTCTAAAACAGCACGGTAAACTCTGCAGTCCACTTTATTGTGATTCTTATTTCTACGTCATGCATGCTTCCAGCAGCTGGTAAACGCAGATTTTTGCATTTCACTTACCATATGGAATGACTGTGGCAAAAATCCAGGGCAGACATGATTTGTCTGAAGAATTTCCTGGCCTCTTTAGGTGTTAACCTGCCTTTCTTCACCAAGTAATCAAACAGCTCACCTCCAGACACATGTTCTAGCACAAGGTACCTGAGAAATAGACAGAGGGAAAATGGAAAAATTAGCCCGAGTAATACACAAAGGAGTAGAACGGCATAAAAAAAAAAGCACATGTATGAAATAAAGATCTCAGTTGCGGGGACAGGAACAACCGTTTTATCTACAGAGCCCCGTAAAAGGTCACTGAAGAAACATCGACGTTCCTGACCTCAGCGGTCTGCTTTACACAAATCTCCCCAAAGTCATATCCTGTTTAAAGTTTATTTTTCATTGTGTCGTCATTAAGCTTTTCCCACAGTCAGAGTAAAGCATATCCATAATGTTTCACAAATATGTGAAGGGTTTTGATATAATATACTCGGAGGGATGATATATGTGCATAAAGCTCTTACGGTATTTAGAAGCTGCTTCCCTTACAATTTTGGTTTTAGCAATCTTTTAATCAAGAAAAAAACAGATTGATGCAAAGATATTGGAGGAAACATACTAAGTTCTTTCTTCTTTCATGGTCCTCTAACATGAGCAGACATACAAACGCAAGGGTCCATGCTGTAACCTTTGAGCCTGTGTGGGTGGGCTTGTTCTGAGACTTCAAGGGGACAAGGAGAGGATTAATCTCACCCGTCCAGACCTTAAAGCCTCATCTGTGGGCAGAAGCCAGCGCTACTCAGACAGGGGATGAAATACACTATTTCTGCTCTCCCTCCCTCAGGAGATGTGTCTTCATTCACCAAATGCTTTGTTTGGTTATTTATTATAGATGTTGCACTTTACCAGCCAGTTTACTCTTCATCATTAGCACTTATGAGGCTGGTATGGTCTGATAAGACATTTGAACCAATTAAATGATAGGAATTGTAGAATACAGTGTGTGTGTGTGTGTGTGTGCGTGTGTAGCTTTACTAAAACAGGTCAGGATATCGCTCATGCTTATGCTACACAGATTATAACAAATCGTTTTCTGTATCTGTTTTGTCTAAAGTACTCAAAGAGTATGGGAGTGCAATATTAAATCATAGGTGCACCATTGAAACTTAAACGCTATATACTTTCCTCTTACATTGTGGTACAATAAACAACACTTTACTGTATCTAACACAATAACAAGCAGTGCCGAGATGTAGTGAATATCAGACTTTTGGCCACACTGCTTTCCAATGGAAATAAATCAGCCTATAGCAGCGCTATTACAAATCTAGTGTACTTGCATGCGTTATGGTCTCTATTCAGCATTTCTTTGTGACCATTTTTTATTCTCAAAGACATAACAACGTAGCAACATTATGATTTGATCATTCGTTCATTTCAAGCAAACGCTTTCCACTTCTCGCCACCTCTTGCACGCACACACCCTAAAACAGCTCGCAGTGGGATCTGTGCCAGCACCATAATACATCTCAACAGCTTGGGGACCGCCAGCTCAAAAACACGCATTTTATCTTTAACCTCAATTGGCTTTCAAGTGTAGATATCAGAATAACAATCAAAACAACTTTAATTTCAAACCTGCATCGCTGAGTTACATCGTACTGCGTTAAGTGTTGAGTGTACTCAAGTCACTGGTGATTCAAGCCTCTGACTTTAGTCACATGTCAAAAGTGATGACGCAAATGGCACAAAATATGATTCTATTAATCCAATTATGCGATGAATCACAACATTACACTATTCCTTTAAAGTCAAAGGATGACATGTACAGTGACGCATGTCCAATCCCATTTGGCCTGTGAGCTCATGATGAGAACTAATTGGATTCAGTTGACCAACGATCCTGCGTGGAGCAAGAGGGCGACTATGAGCCACTGATGGGCTTGTCACTCACCACTGTTGAAGTTCACTAATACGCGTGGCTTTGCGCGAGCTGTCCATGTTTCTTAACGCCATGGCGTCGCCTCGGATAAGCGCGTCATGGCGTTTTATAGGGAGACTTTCTCTCCATATAAGCGGACCACCAGAGTCCTAGTGCAAAATTAAACGCTTTGTGTCAACACTGAATGGAGTATCCGCCCCTGCGAGGCTATGACCTTTGCCCTCGAATCGTGATATATGACAAAAAAAACAATGTGGGACATCTGAAAGAGCACTTGACAATAATGAAATTTCCATCCACATACAAACAATCATTTAAAGTGTGCACACTTTAAACTGGTACACAATCTATTGGTGATACTTACAAGTATTTTTTATTTTCGTAGACGTCATGTAGCTTTAAAACGTGCGGGTGTTCTATTAGCTTCAGGATAGCTATTTCGCGCTCCACCTGCATGACACAGAGAAAGAGGAAAAGAGAGGGGGATGAAAAGAGATAGGATTAGCAGTTAACCAATTGTCCCAATCTGTACCCCTAAAATCCAACTTTCCTCTCACTTCTGCCTAAACTGAAATGCACTTGGGACAGACCCTGAAAGGAATAAGCAAACCAACGAAAGGAGCTGACTGGCAGTTTTCTACCGACTTAAAGGACAGAAGATAAACTTTGACCACACTGGTTGGCATCCAGGCGAGGACTGCTATCTCAGCCGGAAAATGTAGTTTGCTTCAAAAGCTGCAGGAAAAAACGCATGTTTGTGTGCGTTATCGTAATGTCAAGAGCGCCCCGTCCTCTCTCTCACAAAACAAGTCGAGCTGAATGCTTTGCAATCACATTTCCAGTGGTTTTCTTCAGGTGAACATAAATCAGATTGGTTTAACAAGAAGCATGAAGCAGCGTAACCTGTCAGAGACAGACATTCATGTCCATGGAGAGCACCAGCTTGAGGATGAATTGGGGTCAAAGTGTCCACTTAGCTACATCAGCGTCTCCCAGAAGAAGAAGAACACAGTATATGAACACAACGCTGTGCTCAACCGGATGGACGAGTCCACACAAGTTCCTAAATTCGGGTTGTTGTTTTTTTTTCCGCTTACACAGCAGCTGAGAGACATTCACAGTGCACCGGCGAGAGCTGTATTCCACCAAAAATCATGCAGATCAGTTTGGATTTGTGTCAGCGTCTTCACAGAGCTGCAGTCAGCGTGTTGAGCTCAAAAAAAAAATAAGCACACAACCGACTTCGACAGAAGCCAACGGTAATCTTCGGCCTCCCCCCCCGTGCTGCACCCTGAGCTCTGCTCGGGGGGTTATCTTCTCATCCTTCTTCTCCACCTCCTCTGCGGTCCATCCTCTCCACCACCCTCTGTGTGTCTACGGCCTCGACTGACAATGATGGCGATTAAAGGACGGCGTGAGTTAAAGGCTCCCGTGCCTCGTCTCATCAAAGTCAATTTCACTTTGTCACTTTTTTCCGTGACAGCCTTCGAGCCGCTTCAATCTCAGACCGGCGCTTAACTTTACGGACACTCATACGGAACGGAAGTAAAACCTTCCAACTGTTTCTGTTGAAACTGCCACAAAGTTTAGAAGAGCTTCCATCGGTGATTAGTCTACTACAGCTCAGGTATTCTACCTCTGCCCAAATAGCAGCATCCCTACTCTTCATCGGGTGTGCGATAAAGGTCACGGGCCTTTCAGCTGGGCGCGCTGCTCGCCTGGAAAAGGGTGAGGTGCTAAATGCGTAACAGGCATTAGCGTGGAGCAACAGTGGGAATAACGGCTAGGCTAATCAGGGCTAATCCAGAGACTAATGAGCGCTATCAGCAGCAGCAGCGCGCCGCCACTTTCTCACCCGAGGCGAAGGTGGGTTGTTAGGAAAGAGCCCTCGGTGGATAGCTGGCGAGCCGGCGGTAGGGATCCCTGCAGAGAGACTAATGCTACGCAGGACGCCGGGAGAGATGAGCCTGTCGAAAATGCTACAGAGCCAGCAGCTGGCTTCTTAAGCTTCCTCTAAGCGCCTCCTTTTAGTTAATTGAAATAAGAGAAATGAGGCTCAATGTGAAGACTTAACTGTACAACTCACTGCTTATTGCGAGATTAGCTTATGATTAACACATTCGTGTAAATCGGTGGAGCGACCTTAGTGCTACGGTTTCATTAAATGACAATTGTACATACACCAACCACAAAATCTTTATATATACACACTCGCAGTTACCAACCGTTTGCTCAATTATCCGAGCCGCAAACTCGCACATCCTACACGTCATGCTAGAGTACATGCCAGGTGGTCATCTGCGTTCTTGGCTTCTTTTACATGGCTTCACGCTCCCTCATTAAGTTTCACATCTGTGAGCGTGGACAGCTTTCCCCACGTCTCTCCGTGGCACTTCATTAAGCCTTTATTAGCAGCCGCTTGGACACCTTTCACCGAGACGCGCAAGCACATGGACAGATGGACGGCTGGTTTGATGAACACACACCGGCGCTTCTCATCTTTCTTGTGTTCTTTGTGGGTTCAGTAGTTCGATATAATGCCAATTTGCTCTTCTTTTTGTTGTTCTTTAAGAGGGAGAAGAGGTAAAAAAAGAAGGAAAAAAAAAACACCTAATCAAAAATCAGAGGAAAGCAAAACTGCGAGGACTGACACTAACCCAAATTAGCTATTTGACGGGGAGATAATTTGTTTTGTAAAGTACATGGTTTGTGGAGTCGACATCATTAGCGGGAGATCGCTGAACAGGAGACTATTAGTGGGCGGACTGATTGGCAACACTTCCAGTGTCATATCCTGCCATACCACATAGATCAATATGTCAGACAATTGGTCGTTTCTGTTAAGGCTAAACTAAAAAGCAATGTCTAACCCAGGCTCTAAAAAAACGGCACTGTTTTCCTAAATAATTAAAGCTAGAGTAGCACTCTCTTCACCCTGGAATTTAATTTTGATGTTGTGTTACGCCTGATGTGATTCATTACATTGTAATTATGGTGCAATTTGTAGGTGCGGATGGTAGTTCATAATAGAAAAAAGAAACAATGTGTGACTGAGGGACGGCACACTTCAAATTGAAAGGATTGTGGCCGGTTTAGTATAGCTGCATCAACTTGTTATTGATTGTTTAAATTACAGCCCTGGATCCGAATGGCTCCATGGACCAGCAAAGCAATGATTGCCGACCTCAATAGTTTCATTGCTGTGGCTTAGAATCCAGTGGCAGAGGACAGAAGATTGCAGACAGGCAGACATGCAGCAACAATGACAACGACGCAAAGAGATTAGATTCACGTCACACATGTCACAGAGCAATCGAACACAAAAGAAACCATCCCAAGTGGGGGGGAAAATATTGGATCACAGGCTCTTGTCATCTCTCCCTCTCCACTTATTGCATCTCGCTGCCTTTCGGTCTCACGTACACAGACGTGAAAACACAGACATTTCCGTCACGTCCCCCGAGGCGGGCGAGGTGAACGGTCCCTTGGTGCTGAGATCTGACGATCAAAGTCAAGCGGGCAGCCATGTGTGTCAAAAGCGTGGGTGGCTGTGCTAACATGGGAGCTAGCGTGCATGCAAGAGCTGCTGGGTGGACGGAAAAATAAGAGACACGGAGGAAAGATGAGTTGATGTAAGCGGGATGGAGAAAAAGCCATGCAATTATCTGCAAATGGAGATGACTCAAATACACGTAAAAGGCAGAGAGAGAAAGAACAAGGTGGCAGTGCCAGGTTGTATACCCCTGAGTCTTGCAGCCTCTTTTGTTGCTAATTAAAACAACATGAGGAAAGGATAACCTTTTTAGCAGCGCCTCACAGCACACGGAGAGTGAAATAATAACAGGTAAGTCAATGACTAGGAAGGAAGGCAGGAATATGAGGCGATAAAAGCACGTGACGATAAGCAAAGGATATTACAAAATATCTGTAGCAGTTAAAATTATATATTTTTACCGTAGTGCCAGTTTAAAAAACTCCACACACAGTGAATCGCAGTATTTTCCTTTAGTGCATGTTACTGAATAATAGTTTCATGACTCATCTCGGTTATCATTACTTAATTGTATATTATTTTCCATCGTTAATTAAATCCCTTTTGATTGATTTTACCTATACTTAAGCAATCGGGAACGAGAGGCTGTACTTTATTGTCCAATAATGTAACAGTTCGAGGGCGTTGTTCGGCCCGATGCGCCTTATATATATATATAAATAAATAGTAAGTAAATAGCGGCCTTTCAGCACAAAACAGTTGTAGCCACCAAACGTTGTGTATCTCATTTCACTAGTCTAGTGAAAAATAGTCCCCGTAGGTGCATGTAAACTGCATTGGGTCTCATTGCACTTCACTCTCATTCATTTACATCGCTCATGACGTCCACCTTAATTGTCCGGTCGCCACCGAGCTAAAAGCTGAAATGTCAACTAACGGTCGCACAAAGTCTAACCTGTTACTTTGAGTGCGCAGTGATACGGGACGCACGGGTCAATGTGAACAGCAACTGTACATCATCGCTCAATAATTTACATCACGTGAATCACTCTCAACCAATCAGAACGCTGGATTTCATCCACCCGTATTATAGTAACGAATAAATAAAATAAATACTTTGATACTGAAAAGAGTAGAGTTTGGTATACCAACCACATCAGGCAGCATATGGGTGACGGAGTAATAAGGTGGATTGGGCGATGGCCGGACAGGAGGGTCCAACTGGCAGTGAGCAGAAGGGGAGAAGACGGCACAGCTTGGCTACTGGCTCACGGACAAAACCAGTCCGCTCCATGTCCATTTATACTGGTGACATGTGGACACATTGACCCACGATGCAAACACACTGTACACACAAGCCACCTCCATCCATCCATCCATCCATATGTCGGTCAGCGAGCCAGTAGGGCAGAATGTGCGTTTTCCTGCCAGGAAGAGAGGGTGGCCAAGCTGCTGTGTGTGTCTCTGTGCGCGTAAGTAAGCAAGTAAATGCCAAGGAGTTTAGTGTGTGCGGTCAGTCGCTGTGACTGGGAGGGAAGGACGTCGTTTTCAAGGGCAAACACGCAGTCTACCTGCGTTCAGGTGCTCTTCCCATCGTTTTGCCGGGAACGCCCTCCGCCTTCAAGACATTAACATTTGTTCCGGAGAAAACCTGAATATCCAAGAATGTGTTTAAAAATGGCCATAGATGGATTTAGCATTATTTGTTGGGTAGTTGTGTTATCTCCAGCGTGATAACCATGAGTTAATTCCACTGAGAGTTAAACTAAACGCAAAATAAAACATTTGTTGTATGATTATATTCCAGTATAAATTGCTCTCTAACTTTCATCCTTCCGTTTCTCGTTTCCCCTCCTCCCGGTGGACCACACAAATACACAAAACACATGTGAAGGCGCACACACACACACACACACACACACACACACACACACACACACACACACACACACACACA